AAAATAAAGAATGGTTGCTGTAAACGCACGCTAGATAATACTTGCAATTCATCAAGCCGACAACCCCTATGAAATAGTAATCCCAAACCACGCGCCCGTCACTCAAGTGGTGCCGACAAGTCTAGATTGGGCAAAGACCAAAGTGTTTTGCAAAGTTGCAAGTCATTTTGCTAACTGACTGTCCGAATAATTCTCAGAACGGCTCATCTATACTTTTAAATATACCTATTAGTAATTCATTGTAAATTTTTATATTTTTAATATTGACTTCAATAGAAGATATGTCATGTATTATTTCATTGCATTCGATAATTTAAGAGAGCTTTTCTTTTGTTGTGGCCATGTGTTATGACAGAAGCCAACTTGAAAACTTCTTTTTGCTATCTGCAATTCAATTTCATCTGCAATTTTTGTGAGCGAACCAAGCTTAATTAAAAACCATTCAATATTGTTCTGTTTTTGCTGTTGACAACTTACCATAATGTTATATTTGGAACTTGGAATAAAATAATGCATTGAACAACATACATGCATGTCTGTGTGTTTTATCTGAATGTTACAAATCATTTTGAGAAATTCAAATAGGAAATCAAAGTTTGGAGGATTGCTTTAACCATCAAGACATGTGTTGATGATTTAATTAAACATTAGTCAAGTGCAAATACCTCATCTTGTAAATTTTCTTCGACAACTTCATCATAATCTTCATCTTTTCTTTGTTCTGAATGACACAAAAAGACAATTGCCATGGAATAAAGGATTACAAGACATTAACGCTCCCATCACCACCTCTGACAACAACATGGCAACAAAATGTCCTAATTGCCTATGAGAGTCTTATAGGAATAATCCCTTCTCAAAATAAACATTTACGACAGTTATCATTAATACAAATGTCTGCAATGACATAAAGAGATGCAAGGATGCAATTCAGTGTTGATATTCTTTTGATGTCACCAGTCAACAAAAAATATTTACTAAGACTACATTATAAACAAAGAATAACTACTTGTATATAATAAACCAATCAGAGTTGCCTATTTGAACTAAATGTACATTGTGTACACTCGTCTATGTCACTGTGGTACCACAGTAAGCTGAAGTAACATCACAACTTATTGGAAAGAAGGTCAATTGTACAAATCACATGTATAAGAAGACAACCCAGGAATTACAATAAAACACAATCTTATATTTACTCTTCACCTACAAGCAAAATTACATTTGCTTTATTTCCTATTTGAATGCTAAAGTCAAATTTCATAACATAAATCCATATTTATTCAACGATATTGATATTTGTGTTCATTTGGGTTAGAACACAGAGAAATTATAGAAAAATTGAAAATTTCAATTTGGCAAACGAAAAAACATCTGAAAGTCACTTTTATATATACCTTGCCTATCTGCATGTCTTTTGAAATGTTGGTCTAAAATATCTCCCATAAGTTTGGCTAAGGTAGCAAGTTGGGTCTCGTCAAGGCAACCTTTGCCTAAAAATTCCACACACTATAAAAGAGAAGAAGACTTTAAATACGATGGATGTAACAGCAGACCACTATTGAGTTTAATAACAGTTGTCTACATGCGATCACCTGAAATAGAATTTCATATCCATGATTGGATCAGAGGAACAAAATAACAAACTAACAAACTTGCTCTGATGCTTGAATATCCACAAGTGTATAGTTGGGGAAGGATTCATGTTGAACGACAGATCTGTTTACACCTGTCACAATTAATTTTGGATATCACTTGTTTAAAGTATGTAACTACACAGTACCATTGATATTAATTGAGATTTCAAAAGATAAAGTAAAACACCAAACACAAATTAAAATGCTAGAGTCATCGCACCATGTAGCGTTATATATGGGAACCATAGCAATGTATACAAAGTGTGAAAAACCATTGTTCGTTCACCCGAAATTCGAACATGCTGCACGTGTAGCACTTTAAGTCACACCCAGATGAGCATTACACAAGCTGAAATAGAGCATCCTTGTCATTTCACACTCAGTCATGTGACTCAATTATCCCATTTGCATTAAAAACCTAAGAGTACATTGAGAGTATCACACACTGAGGACTTTTTTCCACAGCTGCAAGTATTTTGTAGTACAAGTAAATCTTGTGTTATAAAACCATTTTTTGTTATAAACAAGTGAGAATTTTTGTAGTTAATTTTATACATCTATTGTTAAGATGCACAACTGAGCCTCGCAGATGAATTTGATTGGAATCTGGAGCAAATCTGATGCGAATCTGAATCCTTTCTCAACTTCAGACTTGTTGAAAATCTCCCAGCGGAGGTCACAGACTAATTGCAGGATTAAAACAGCATGCTACTTTTCAAACTGAAGAATCACAATTGTTCTGAGGTAGCGACACAAAACGCTTTACAGCAGCCACAAATTTGTTTCCTACACCATGACAGCAATATAGTTCGCCAGTTATCAATACAGCTAGGCTTGAAACAATGATGCTTTAGGTAGCCAGTAGATCGTTATCAGATTTTGAAGGCAACATTGCTTGCACCACAGCAATATTGTCGGCCAGCTGGCTTTGTGTATGAAACAAATTCACATCCACAAGAAACTATAATCGACCACAGCATAATTTAGTGAAATCTAAGTATCGATTTTTTTTTCATAGATATACACACAAATGTGCAGTTATGATGACAGTGTTGATTCTTCGCAAAAATCTACATCAAGTGTGATTAGCATCTTCATTAATATTGATGTATGTGTCTCAAATAACGACTAAACCATAGTTCATTTGAGTAGCTAATATATCATTTTGGTAATATATGCAGTACCAATGACAGGATACCATTCCAATTCAAGGGAATATTATACTGCAATGTCAACGACGAGGTAAGAAGTGTGATCCAAACTGACCTTGGCGAATGAATCCATATGTTGTACAAGAACGTCACTTTCGGGTTCTGTTTGGATGGCTTTCAGGACTTCGGGTAAGATGTAACTCCACATTTGTGCAAGGTAATCGTCCCCTTTAATTTTGGCACATTCTAATAAATATGGTAAAGATTCGGCTGCCGATAATCGCACAAGTTCAACGAAGTCAAGGATCAAACACAGAACTGACATATACCTGAGATATTGTTATCATGAGTGGAAATGGAATTCATCTTGTTGCCAAAAACAACTTTTGTCAACTTATATATATAAATAAGTTTTCCTGATTTTTGTAATAATAAATTGTTCAAGACTAGTAGTGCAAATATGTTCAGTATATATTAAATTAAGAAATTATAGAAAAAATACATAAAATGTGAAAAATCTTTGCGAAATGTTAAATTATAACTTAAGAGAAAATTTCTCGACAATTTGCCACTCATTTTCGAAAAATTGTTTTCACAAAATGATGGCTCAGAGAATTCTAGTGCTAAGGAAATTTTTTCTTCTTTCAACAGTGGTGTCTATGGGTTATTAAATTCACCTAACATTGGTTGCCTGGAGGAGTCACCCCAATGAATTTGTAAAACGGACCAAGTTAGATCGATCATTATAAATAAGTCAATTTCCATAGGACTTTTTTCAAATCACTTCACTTAGAATTTTGCAAATGATTAATTACTGGTATTCATTGAGACGTTTGATTTAGATAAACAAATTAAAACTAA